TGGAGCTATGCAAGGACGCTTCTCATTAAGGTCTCTGTACATGTGGTTTTCTTATAATATGCTCATTCGGTTCTGAAGTGTCCACAATTATCCGCAAGCTTCAGCAAGTAATAATTTGTTCAGGTCATCTTCTAGTTTATTTCATAATCGTAGTTATTACTGCTTTGGTTGAGAGAGGGTGCAATTAGCAGCCAGGAAAATTCTCAATTTGTTTTTATGGCAGATCATACTATTCGGCTGTATATTTTAGCAAGGTAGAAACATGAGATAGGAGTGCATTTCCAGTTCCTTAGCGATATCCATTCACTGTCTGCACAGCAATGGTACAAAAAAATGTTTTATTCCACAATAAACTTTTTAAAAAGATAAAGAAATTTATATTCGTTTTTATAAAAATCTGTGTAATAGCGGTTTCCCTCTATCAAAAGTTTGAAGTCGATTCTTTCATTTATAGACTTTTGCTCATACAACTAATAACAACTATATAACTTTGAATTAGAGTTTCTCCTCAGTCGTGCTTTTTTTATTAATTTCTTATTTGCATTCAAACGTATGAAGGAAAAAATCCATTCTAGAAAGTATAAAAGACACAGACATAAGAATTAACTGCATAAGATAAAAGAGCGAAATACCACTTTCAATTTCCCAAGCGAATGACAAGACTTAGTTTCTTCGGTGAAGACATAAAATAAGGAACACCTAAAAAATTTAACACAACTCACCTAAAAAGAAAACAGCCAAGTCAAAAATTATGGAGACAAAAACCGAAAAATACTGATCTCCTTTCCGGAGTAAGGAGCATTCGATAACAACAAGGTGCCTTCTTTTTCCTGACACCACAAAAACGAGTTAAAAAGGAAAGTTGGGAAGAGTTCAGACGTTTCAACGAGCTTTACACTAGTTACTTAAGAACAAAACCCACAGAACTGATAAAATTCCCTGTACATCCATTTTTAACGGAAACAAATGAAACTTTTGAGTGGAATTTTTTTGGAACGTGGAGAAGAACAAATAATCAACAACTGTCTAACTATCACGCAAATCAATCGAGAAAGCCGTACTGGAGACTGTTAACTAGGTTTAATTTGAGTTGCCAAATTAAGACTAGTTTCTGATTTGAACCAACATTACCAATCAATGGTAAAAATTTCTGTTTTTTTGTAGCTTATGAGGCGAGATTATGTGATTTAATGATAGCGCTTATAATGAGAAAATACTTAAAAATCCGCATAAACCAAACTTCGTTGTCAGCATTGCTATAAAATTCTGAATATAACTTCCGTTTCGAACGTATCATTTTTGCGGAACACTGTAGTCTGAGGAAATTAACATTTCTAATTTAACAACCAACCTTCACCTGTTTATTCGAAAAATTAGTCTTATTTAACTACCAGTTACTTCTTGCTTTCAAAGCTGATCTGCTCACTTCTCACAACCATCGGCTTCTTCACCTCACGCAAACAGTTCTCATTTTTCCACAGCAAGAAATCCTTAAATAAAGTGGTTGAAGGTTCCAACTTCCCACTGTAATGGCCACTTTCTAATACTGGCAGCTTTCACTTCTTTTCCTGATTTGAATCAGCAAATCCTCTTTTTACAACCTTTCCAGCCGACTTTAGCTGCTGCATTCCTGATTGAGCGTTCCACAGATAATTTTTTATAACACAAGTGCCACCGGGTTTTTGTAAGCTCAGACTGGAAACGATAAAAATGAAGAGGAAAACAATGCGAAAGAAGTCATACAGGGACCAATAATAGAAGAAAAAAAGATAACTAGAATGAATGAAAATTTTAAATACGATTCTTTTACCCTGAATTTAACAAAGCTCTTGCACACTCATGGCCCCTTACATATCCGTATATATACATATATATTCAAATTCGAATTCCTTCGGCAGAGATGAAATTCCGTTTTATGCGGGTTGAAAATCGTAAACAGCAACTCAGATATTTAGGACTGGTATGACCTTTTATGGAAACAGGAAGGCAGAGCGGCTAATGAGGTTGGAACACTTCTAGGACATGAATGGAAGCAGTAACATCAAACCACGATGATAAAAATGGTTAAATACTGAAATTCGAGATAAGTCAGAGAGGAGTGAAAAAAAGTGTGGTGTAAGAGGGAATAGAATTTACGCAGCACTTATAGGCGGCATCAAGTGGCGTACAGTGTACTAGTGTGTGCTGTAGAATCTCAAGTGGAAGCTGATGGTTCTAATATACTAAGGGGAAGCAATATTCACTCTTCATGCAGATTCGTTTTTTTGAAAGATGAATTTTTTGCTTTGTTCCTCTGACGTGAGAAAAATCCCTCACGCGTGAAGTGTTTTATAAAAAAAGCCATGACCGACTAGGCACCTACGTAGAAAATTCACATGTTTATCAACAAAGACAAGACAGAGGGTAAAGCTTCGCTGAAAGCGTAGCAGAAGACACCTTCGAAACTTCAGTTTTTTAGAATTCAGCGCTATAGAAACTAAGAATTTAGCGAAAATTCATCACTCTACATTTAAAATACCGGTTGCTCTTGATCCGACTCTTCTTCACCATATCAGCTTCAAGAGAACAAACAAATACCAAAACATCCTATGATCTACAGGTAGTAAACTATCCACTTTCACAGACATATGTCGAACCTATGTAACCTTTGATAATTACGGCTTACAAGGCAGAAAGTAACTGGTAGCATCTTCCTCGAAGGCGAAATGAGTATATGATGAGTGGACTCTTTTGATTTTAGAATAATAGAGAAGATTTGCGTACTTATAACTGCACTGCTATGTCGTCGAACTCCAAGCCACTAGGAGTACTAAAAGTCAAAGTTCTGCCATTGCCCCTTCCTTGTTTGAGCAATTTAGTATATACATTAAGAAGTAAGCTACTTTAGTGGCGCAGCCGGGCCTTGCTATGCTTAATCCTCCTCCGGTGCTACTGACGCTTTCGTCAACTTCTCTAGTGAGACAGTAGCTATTTAACCAATGTGGCATGGCTGTCAGTGTGCAAGAATACCAACCTAACTATATCTCCACTGCAGAACTTTTCTTTATCAATTAGCACAAAAAATATTTCAGACTTAAAATTTAGTTCTGGTCCATTAATTCCAACAAAGTTGAGCAAACAGCAAGAAAACTAAAATAAATACCTGGCTAACGCATTTGAACATGAAGCAACAGACTTGGTATCCAAAGAAGTGAGTAGGACTAATGGTACATCACACTCGTCCCTTAAACAAAATATGGCCTTGCAGAAAATATGCGGAACAATAATAGCACTATTATATATATAGGGACTATTCTAAGCCAAGTGGCACACTTTTTCCCTACAAATCTCGGAATTTTTTTAGATTTTGTTGTTTATTAGTCCGGGCCAGTACGTAAAAGCCGAAAAAAACCTGGAAAAGTAAATTCCACGCCAAGTTACACCTCTCAAAATCGCAAAAATTGCCAGGTTACCGCTTGACATACTTACAGTTTGCAGACTAATAATTTAGCCTCTTCTTAATAAAATTTACCGGTTTTTTTATTCATTAGATTTGAACTTTAAGTGGATATTGAATAATTTAATTTTGTAAAGAAATTTTCTAGATACAGTAAAAACAAGATTTCAAACTGATATTAAAAAAAAAAAACATGTCTTTAAGTTTTTAAAAAAAGGTATTTTCTGTGCAGACTTCTTTGCGCTACAAAATAAAAAAAATTGGTGGCGACGCTTTTTTGGTATTGAGAGTTACAAGCCAAAAGAGTCTGAAATTGAAAAAAACCACTATTTTTGCAATATTTCCATATGCTTTACAGTCGCGAAACCGTCCTGAACCGCAGAAAGCTGCTACGAAAACCAGGCACGTATTAGACTTTGAAAATTTGTTGTGAAAGTTGTACTTTACCTTAATATAAACAGATTATTATCCTGCAGAGTTGTAAGACGTAGCTTGCATTCCTGTGCTTCTTGCATGTCGTAGTTTCTGGACTCTTAGAATTATGCCCATAGTGTACTTATTAAAGTTTTGATTGCACGAACGAACATGAGCTCGAAGTGCCGTTCTTCCTTTGAAATTATGTGCCGTAGTTCTCCAGAAAAAGTAGAAAGTCCAAGGAAACTTTAATCCAGCAGCTAACCAAATAAAGCAGTAGGTTTTCAAACTTCTTCGTGACTTGAAGATGTATACTAGGGCATAATGCTGACAGAATGAAATACGAGACTCAGAAAAGACTGGAATGGAAGCTGCTTCTCACAACTCTGCAGGATAATAATTAATTAATGTTATTAAAGTACAACTTTTGTTACAGGTTTTCAGTGGTCGATACATACCTGATTTTTAAAGCAGCTGTCTACGGCTTTAGCAGCAGCTCAGGGCAATTTCACCACTGTACAATGCATAGGATTACTCCAAAAACAGTGAGTTTTTTTAAGTTTAACATTCCTCTCTGGTCCGTAACTCTTAGTACTAAAAAAACGATCCATCGCCAAATTTCCATATTTTGTAGGGCAAAAAATGCTACACAGAATGTCTTTTTTGAAAAATTTAAAAACATTTTTTTTTCTGTATATTTGTTCGAAATCTTGTTTTTATCATATCTATAAAATTTTTTAACAGAACTAAGTTATTTAAGGTGCAGGATATGACAGATCTAATAAACTACGAATCGTTGCATCCTTTTAAGAACAGTCTAAATTACAAGTCTCCAAATGTAGGCATATCAAGCGGCAACTTGACAAATTTCGCAACTTTGAGCGGGTGTAACTTGGCGGGGAATTCACTTTTCCAGGTTATTTTCCATCTTTTTACATGCTGACCTAGGCTCTGCAGCAAAATTTTAAAAAATCCTGAGATTCGCAGGGAAAGTGCCACTTGGCGCGAAATATATCTATTAACTACTGGTGAATTGTATGAATAAAACAGACTTTTGCAGAAACTGAGACAATATCACTGAACAACTTCCAGCACTACAGCTAGTCAAAATGTAGCGTTCATATTACCGGCAATAATCGAAGAATGAAAATTACCCTGACCTTTTCGCCGTGGCAACAACGTTTCTCATTGGTTCTGAATCATAGCTTCTTGTTTCTATTTTAAAATATGATGCGTACTCGTGTATAACACGTCGCAACTCCGAATTCATTGGTGGAAATGAATGAGTTTCACACGTCTTTCCACTATCCTAAACAACACCAAAAAATCTCTTAATGCCTTCGCTCCAAATGATGCGGGTATTTTCACGTGAGACCTTCAGTATTCTATTTTTATTTGAACTCAAACTTGTGTTTTTTTTAAACTGATGAGTTAAAAAAGCTTACGTTTTCAAGTTCATGTACCAATCCTATCAGGATGTCTTCAACAGCCTGAACGTGTTTGAAATTTGCTTTAAGATATGATTTCAAAAAGTCAGTATACATAGATGATGCAACTCCAGAAACACCATCTATATCCACTCGATTAGCCTCACGATCAGTTTTTATATTCAAGGCTTCTGCTACTGCTTTGTTACGACCAATACGGCGACACTCGGCATCGCAATGCAAGCTAGAAAATACCTGAATGAGCGGAAAGTAACCTCTAAGTAATCCAAAGATCAAAGCACAAGAAACAATTCCTTTTACCATCGAAACTTGTCACTGCTGTCAGAGCATTTCAGAATTTGACGTCCACCCAAGAATGACTTCTCTTCCGCTAAATCATCCATTTTCATTGCCATTCTTCTCCTCCATGCCTTTTCGACGTCAACACACTTCATTTCTGCTTTCCTGAGCATACAATTGCATGTAACCGTCACCTTCGTCAAACACTCGCTACAAAAACGATAAAGTGATTTCTACTATAGAAATCAATCAAAAACTAGGAAACAATGCCAAGGCATTTAAATGGTAAAAACTTACCTTTTCGGACAAACCGAGCTGCCATGACACGGCAAACCACATGGATGCTCACAGTCTCCATCAGTACGCTTTATTGGGCAAGGTTGTTTACATACATAGTCCTCTGCAGGGACGCAAGGAGGAGGATGGCATGTACGCTTACAGAAGTGAACTCCACAGGGTAACGGTGCATTGCACGGCTTGCCACAAGAAACCTCATTTAGATAACATGGAATGTTTGCGCGCATCTGAACATTAACCAATTTTGCGATCAAAACTAATTGCAGTTGTACGCCAATTCAGATTACTAAGCGATACCTCATGCCGTCCATAACATTCTTTAGCAGTAAGTACCGTGCATGGCGGACACTCTGGCTCTGCGTGACAAGTGTGTAGTGGAGGGTGAGAACAAGAATGAGTTCTCGAACAAGGAGCATCACACGTCGGTAATGGAGTCCCACAAGGAATGGGAGGTTCTCGAACAGTTTTACCGCACAAACAGTACTGCTCTTGAAAACCTAGCAACAAAAGAAGATTTCTTGTTACGTTTTTGTCGAAAACAATTACTTTCATGCAGAGCAAAAAAGAATGGTAAAAGACAAAAAACAGACTAGCTTGGAGGCACTTCGGACACTGTCCAATGTGACAAAGCCGATCGCAGAAATGGTTTCCACAGTCAAGCTTTTTGTTGCATACCTAAAAAAAAAATTCACTCACAACAAAATATTTCTTAACAACAATCCAATGAAAACAAAAAGAAAAAGAACAGTAAATAAATTTTCCTGTAAACAAACGTGCTCTGTTTCTACACAACAGACAGCTTGGCATCGATGGTTCTGGCAACTCTTCAACTTTTTACACCGTTTTTCACACAACAAAGGATTCGATTCTAAAAAACTTTGCTTAAAGAGATAAACTTGACGCATAACGTTTTAGAAAAAAAAAAGCAGAGATGAAGATAAGGAAGTAGCAACCTGAAAAAGCGACGGCCTCTACACACGGCAGCGTTTTTTTCAATGCTTTGCAACGACAAGTAACAACAGTGTTGTCCAGGCAAGGTGCACAAGGCCCTTCATGACAGAGCTGTTTACAACGATGCGGTTTATCTAAATATATTATAGTAAGAAATGAACCAACCTTTTTCGACGTAAGCTATGTAGTTCGTTCTTGCCTAATTTTGCTCAATAAAAATGTTATAATTGATCAAAATACATGAAAGTTCCTCCTTGTCCTTCTAATTCAGCTGTTACTGATTACAAAGAAATTTCAGTAGAGTCACCTTTTGGACCGCAAGGAAGAACTTTGTTACATGTGTTCCCGCAAGTGGGAACTGGATCTGAACAAGCTCTTCTTATTCCTTCTGGTATTCTGCTACAGCCACAAGGACAGTAGTGCTTTAAATCTGGTGATAATGGACAAGGACCACACGTTCCATCTTTCTTTTTTTCATGACACCTGAATTTGAACATACATGGTCACAAAAGAGCAATACAAACAAGATTTAAAGAAGTAGAAGCAACAACAACCCTTCAGAAAAATAGTTAAGCTCACCTGGACGTGCATTTATGAACACCACAATTGTATTTTCCATCACAAGGAGCACCGCAACTGTAATGAACAGATGAAGAATCCTCAGCACTGCATGGTACTTCACGGCTCGCTAAGCCGCAAAAACAGACTAAAATCCTTGTAAAAAATATATTTCAAGAAATATAAAAAGTTACCGTAGTCAAATTGATAGGACAGTTCAACTCAATAACCAACAGTAAAACATTATTTAAACTTTTCTCTAATAGCGCCCACAGCCTTGAATAAATGAACAAACTGAAGAAACATTTCCTTTCTTTTTTCTCTTCTCCGTTCAACCAAGCCAAGAATAAAAAATTTTAAAGAAGAAAAAAACAAAACTAAGACTATCTTTGAATTTCTTTGAATTTAATGCTTACTCTGTCGAACCTTCTCTTTACAGTCCATGCAAGGGCCTGCATGACATACAATTTCACATTTATGAGACCGGCAGTTCAGAAGTTTCCCACATACTTTGTCGCACTGAAAGGTACCCTTCAGTCTTCCAATTCAAATAAAGTTCTAATGAGTAAGACACTGAATAAATAATACTTTGAACTGTTTGGGAGTTCCACAACGCAGAGTTCTAATTTCTGTCCCACAGTCACACGAACACGTAACCGTAGCTGGACATGGACAACATGGACCGGGGTGACATTCTTCAGTACATGGGTGCGGACACCCATGCCCTCTGCTTCGTCCACAGGTACCACCACAAGAATGCGGTGTTTCAGGAAACCTGGAACGAAATTTATTCAAAAATTATGGTACACGATTTGACAAAAGTTTAGAAAGTAAACCTTCTTGTAGGTGGATTATTCCTTTTTCCACAAAAACATTTGTACTCTTTCGGTATTTCCAAAGAGATGTTTTGGCAACTTGGACAACGCCACTCTCCATCAGTATCTCGACTTTTAACTGCCCATTGAGTAATGCAACCAGAAGAATTAGACCGATTTATGTGAAACATATGATAACACTTCGTGCAGGTCCAGATCCACTAGAAATGCTGATTATATGAAGCCTCTGGATGCATTAAGTTAGAAAATTTAGCTGAAACTTTTTCAAAAAAAAAAAAAAACCCCAGATCACTATAACTGTAAAGTTTATTAGTTACTTCCTTTCAGCAAAATGTGTGCAAGCAAAGAAGTGACAGAATTGGCAACGCAGTCTTACCTGATTAGCCTGAATAATTTGGCAGCAAATCATACATTCATAGGTGTTATTTTCTAACTGCCGCTTCAAACGTTCTAAATACGCCTTAGATTTGAATAACAGTTCAACTCGGTGGGAGATAATAAAAGTTACCAAAAAAAAAAAACATGAATTTCACGTACATAATCCTAACCTCTTAAAGTCTGAAGTGAAGCATCATTTTCTTCAACAGTAATGCCGCTAGATGGCCCAAAACTAGAGGCACCATTATAGCAATTGCCATTACCTCGGCCTCTAACGCCTAAATCAAGTATTACAAGAGAGGGCAGTTGGAACAACAGCGAAAATGCACAAAGAAATTACTCATAAAAACTTGTCTGCCCCGAGACTTTAAGTTTCTGTGACCACGAGCAATGCTTTGGTTATGGCCAATACATTTTGTACGATTCAAATTTGCTCCATCTAATGAAACTTCCGGGTCGCTGTCAGCTGAAATAGGCACAAATCTCATGACCACCCAATTAATCACTTGTTTAAAAATGAAAATTTTTTGCCTGGAATCAACAAGAAAATTTTCTGCACAATTCGGCATTCACTTCAACGTAGTAAAAGTTTAATAATTCCACAGAATATTAATACCTAACTCTGACTTCGCAAAAAGAAATTCAGGTAACGGAGAACGATGCTGATTTTGGAAATAAGGCCTCGAACCCCTTCCAAAAAAACTTCGGCAAGATTTAGCAGTGCTAAAATTCGATATACCTTGAAATCGTGCAAAAGCTAACCAGACAAAACTAAAAATTTACTTCAGAAACACTTACGAGCTGGGCCTGAAATTGTTTGCTGGATGCTGCGCGCGAGTATAACCTGCGTTTGAACAATTATTATCTGAAAATTTTGATATGTCAGAAGCACGAAAGACTCGAATGTCCGCAGTGAATTCGTCGTACACCAAAAAACAATATAAAATCATAAAATTTTTGAAAAAAAAAGCATTTTCAGTAGGATATATTAATCGATCAGGAGCAAAAAAGATCGAATACGATAAATCATACGTGAACGATTACGAAGATTGCTATTCAGCCTAGGAATGAGCGGAGGTATCGCATTGAAACTATTAAAAAACGGGATGTTGCTTGACGAAACTATGCTAGAATTTGTAAACGTAGACGAGGGGCTGCAGCCATGAAAGTTTAATGGGGATGGAACAGCACAGTCACGTGGAAGGTGATATGAGTGATCCCCGTCATGTCCTAAAAATTTTTGAAGTCCTCTTGAAGGAATAAAACTGATTACTTTAAGAAATCACTCCTTACACAATAATAAAACCCAAAATGATAGATAGCTGCGAAAATTAAATAAACAAGTTGAAAGCCACCTTCACGCGCAGAAAACTATATTTTTAAAGTTATTTCCTTCTTCACACTAGTTCTGTTTAAAACCGCTGAATTCTCGTTTCCA